TGGCATCCCCCACTTGCTTTATCAGATTATGATGGAGGCGGGAATCTTATAATTATCGATCTACTAAAAGAAATGCCTAATATGAGGTATCTACTTGAAGAGCTTAATGAGATCTACAAATGGACATGTAACATGTCTTCCATAATCAGGTTGAAAGTCCGCATACATAGAAAAAATGGTCATTTTTAGCGCGGAACATAACAGAAAACAAGTATTTGACCGAGCCTATTTGGCAACAAATATTTAAGCATCACTTTATGTGTTAGTTTTTTTTTCATTATTTTTCAATTCTACTAATCCAATTGGTAGCAAAGCTTCCATTCTCAAGCAAAATCAAATTATTTGCACAAATACCCGTACATTGATGAAAATTTTTCAGAGCCAAATAATTTTTATATCAATTCTAAGGTAAGTTAATAAGTTTTCATCCAAACACAAAACGCCATTCCGATTTGCAGATAAATCGAACAAATCTCACTACTATGAGAAAAAAAATGCCCATTCTCACAACGGCACACGCTAACACACGCTACCCGGCCAGCAATCAAACCTGGAACCTATCCGTTAGGAGGCCTTAACCACTACATCAGACCACCAGGCTGCAATGATCAGTGAAAAATGATAATTGACTGAAGAATAGTATTTCTTATGGACCTTGAAATAAGCGTCCCAGAATAAACGAACTGCAGCAAGTCTTCGAAAATGTAGTTGGTAAACTCCCCAATAAGTGGGAGTTGTAAAACGCATGATGTCCAATCGTTCATTAGTCATGCTGAATGCGCCGAGAGCCAAATCCGCTTCATTGCGCTGAATTCTGCCGATCAGTCCTGTCCATTTAGAAGCTGTGCGATTCCAACTTCCATAACCCCGCTCCCAAAGAATTTCAGATACAGTAAAATTCAATGCTTTAGACATACTTTTTAAAACTTCACTTGTGATTCCGTCAACTCTTCCAGTAGAATCCGTGGCTTGCTGTTCCTAAAATTAAACCGTAGTTCTTAATGCCGACCCTTATGCAAGTTGAGAGCTTACAAAAATCAGAATCATTAACATGCATTCGTACACAGAAAGAAAAATACCGGAAAAGTTCCGTAACTTTTCCGGTATTTTTCTCTCCGTGTAGTAGTTAATGATAATTTCTCTGGTTTTTACCATCTCTACAGCAACACGCAATCTTTGGCCATCCATTGAATTCCTCCGATCACGAAGCCATTTATCATGAAACCAACTAATGTATAAATTTCCATTCATCAATTGAGCAAGTGCCTGTCTCTTGGGACAATGCTTCTCGGTACACCACCATTCTTCAATGATTTCTGAGTCGCAGCACAAAATGAGTGCTTTCGAACCAAAGTTAAGATTCATAAAATTGCTAGGTGGATTACGACAAAAATTACATATATCATAGTTATTATGTTGGCTAAAAAATATTAACCAGACAGAATAGCTCATATCTAAATTTTTGGTAATGGATTCCAAGCTGTGCAATTCGTCAATTACATTGAGATCAATCACAATGAGAGAAGGATACGTCTTTCCTATATATTCGTTTAATCGGCTTTCAAATTGCTTGAAATCGAGGATAAGTGTCGAAATGCCTCCATTAGATAACATCCTAGTTGTTTCATACCACAACGTGCCTCTTTCTAAATCTGAAATATATTGTTATATCAATATTTGTATTATTCAATAATTTTTTAAATTTTGGGCCAGTTTTTATGAATAAAAGAGAACGTCTAGTTTGATTTGAATTCTTTTTTCTTTCCGTGCATTTTGCCTACCGCGATCACTCGACGCTAATGCTATGATTACTCCAGCACTTCTATATTTTTCATAGACGTTTTTTATGATAGAACCATAGTAATTCCCTTCATGCACTAATGCCGCTGGACTGATAATGCAAAGAGTCCATAGTACGAGTAAAATCAAAAATTTCATCTTTCCTTCACTTAAATAGAATTAATATATCTATGCCTGAAACATAATACAATTTCTACATTAGTTGGAAAATTCAATACAATGGTTGAAATTTATTTGGTTAGGAGTAAAAATGCTTAATTTTATTAAATTAGATAGTAACTATTTGAAGAATTCAATCTTTTGATAGATTCGCACCAATTTACCGTTTCTCAACAATTGTGTAGTATAAATAAATAAATATACTCTTAAGGACATACTCATATAAAATTAAAACAGAAACATGAATTATTCAAGTTTATTATATTAATTTTTCTGACAATTTAAATTTGAAAATATTTTTCTGATCTCTATATAAAAAAAATAATAATAATTAGTTGGGGTTACCAAATAAGTTTCTGAACTGGATACCTCCTGCACAAGTATAAATGCATATCAATATTTGCATTTGCTATCTAAAGACTTTCTTGTGCTAACCCCCG